GGTCCACTTCAGCCTCTTCTGCATCAGTGGTTGAGGCATAGACTTGGATTACTGTGATGTTGAATGGTTTGCCTTGGATTCGTACTGAGATCATTCTGTCATTTTTGAGATTGTATCCGAGTACTGACTTTTGCACTCTCTTGTTGACTATAAAGGCCACACCATTTTTTCTACGAGATTCCTGGCCACAGTAGTAGATATAATGGTCTTCTGAGTTAAATTCGCCATTCCTGTCCACTTTAGTTCACTGATTCCTAAGATATCAATGTTCAACCTTGCCATCTCATTTTTGACCATGTCAAGCTTACCTTGATTCATAGATCTTACATTCCAGGTTCCTATGCAGTATTGTTCTTTGCAGCATCGGACTTTCCTTTCACCATCAGACACATCCACAACTGAGCGTCCTTTCGGCTTTGGCCCAGCCGCTTCACTCTTTCTGGGGTTACTTGTACTTGCCCTCTGCTCTTCCCCAGTAGCATATTGGACACCTTCCGACCTGAGGGGCTCATCTTCCAGCATCATATCTTTTAGCCTTTTGATACTGTCCATGAGGTTTTCTTGGCAAAGATACTGGAGTGGGTTGCCATTTCCTTCTCCAGTGGATCACACTTGGTCTGAGTTCTCTGCTGTGGCCTGTCCGTCTTGGTGAACCACGCAAGCCCCCTCGCCACGACAAGGCAGTGATCCATGAGGCACTAGACAATACCAAAACAAACAGCTATGCATTTTTGTAATATTGATCTCTCAGTTGTTGTTTTCAAATACAGTTGGAACAAAAAATCCCAACTTCAAATATAAGCTAATGGAGTCTGAACTTCCTGAGACTGAGAGGAGAATAGATCTTGGGGTCACAGTAAAAAGCTCAGTGAAAGTGTCAGCTCAGTGTGCCACAAAGGGAGGGAGGCATACTCTGTTGGAGATTATTAGGAAAGGGATTGAAAATAAAATGGTTGATATAATAATGTCTCTGTACAGATCTGTGCTGTGGCCTCATTTGAGATACTGTGCACAGTTCTGTTCATTGTCTCTCAAAAAGGACATCGCAGAGCTGGAGAAAGTATAGAAGTGGGCAACCAAGATGATTAGGGGATTGGAGCACCTTCATTATGAATGGCTATTCCTCCATCAGTGGCTATTAGCCACAAGGTATAGCTAGGGACTCTGGGGCAAGTGATGCTCTGTCTTCTTGGTGCTTGGGGGGGGGTCAACAGTGGGAGGGCTTCTAATGTCCTGGCCCCACTGCTGGACCTCCTGATGGCACTGGTATTTCTGGCCACTGTGTGACACAGAGTGTTGGACTGGATGGGCCTTTGGCCTGATCCAACATTGGCGTCTCTTATGTTCTTATGAGGAAAGGCTGAAGAGTCTTAGACTAGAAAGGAGAGGACTAAGAGGGGGCATGACAGAGGTGTATACAATTATGCACAGGGTGGAGAGATTTGACAAAGATAACTCTTTCCCTCTCCCAACATTCTAGAACTTGAGGGCATCTAGTGAAGCTCATGGGCAGTAGATTCAGGATGGACAAAAGAAAATACTTCATTAGACAGTGAGTGTAAATATGGAATTCACCTCCAGAGGATGTAGTATAAACGTGGAATTCACTGGCAGAGGATGTAGTGATGGCCACAGGCACAGATGGCTTTAGAAGAGGATTAGACAGATTCATGGAGGATAGGTCTATCAGTGGCTACTAGCCATAGTAATTAAACCTCTAAATACCAGGAGGCAACATCAGGGGAAGGGCTCAGACTCCATGCCCTGTTGTTGGACATTCAGAGGAATGGGGTGGCTACTGTGCAAGACGGGATGCTAGACTAGATGGTCTGATTAGCAGGGCTCTTCTTAGGTTCTTATAGTTTGCTAGACTCCAGATTTTTAATCCTGCAAACATCCATAGCACAAAGGGTTTTCCTTGTTTGTTCTTTCCCTTAATGCTGCATTATTTATTTAGATAGTTTCTCTGCTCTCTTTGTATAGCCTGCTCGAGGCAACATCAAACTAGCTACTGTTTTACAGTCCTTTGATTGATCCCAATCCAGCATTCAAAAATTATACTGCTTGCTGTGTTACATTATTTATCCTGCCTTTCCTCCATGGACCTTACTTTATTCTCACAAAAGGCCGCAGGTTAGGCTTGGAGAGAACAACTTGCCCAATATTGCCCACTGAGATTTTTTTCGTGGCAAGCAGGGAACTGAGTCTGGTTCTGCCCAGGCCTACCCTTTAACCACTGCACGATGCTGGCTGGCTGTATTAACATTACTTTCCTATTTTTAAAAAGTCATATCTTTTTTCATTCACCTTCTCCCTTTTAAGAACTGAAGAAAAATCTCAAAATATACCCCAAGCCTCTATTTTATTTTGAAATCAAGCACTTTAGTGGGTTTTCCATACCATGTGTGGTGCATCCCTTTTGGGGTTCTCCTGTGGGCTGGAGAGGGCTGGTGAAATGCTTTGGATGAAGTTTTATGCACGCTTTTTGACAGTAAATATCAATGAAGTCAGCAAAAATGCAATAGTATTCTGCTTTAAGATAATTATAATGCAAACACGCTTCTAATTAAAGCACACTATTAGAATTTTATTTCTTAGTGATCATGATTAATCTTTGCTGATCAGGTTACATTGCTGGATTTATAGACTCTGAAGTCAGCAACAGACTAGACCTCTACGATGTGTATGTGAATCTGGCTGAAAGTGAAATCACCATTTCGCAGAAAGCAAAAGGTTTGTTGGTTCTATTCAGTTTGTTTGTACTCTCCTAGAAGCAGGTTTCCCATTAGTTTGGTACAACTTCCCAGTCTTGACAAATGTCCCCAAATCTTGACTCCATGATAGGGATCCATCATATCCCTTTTTTCTGAACTCAGCTGTTATCCCTGCCTTTGATGGCAGAAACTATAAAAGGTGTGCCAAGGTCTGCCAAAGGAAATATAAAGGAAGGTCGCAAAGAATTATCATTTTAAGTACTAACTCCAAGTTTAATTCAGGATGCCGGGAACTAGAGCAAAGTTGGGGTGCAACTCAAATTTGTAATTTACCTGTTGCACCTGTAGCTTGTTCTTCAGCTGGATTGGCTCTATTGCAAAAGCAACAAAAGGAGTCAACCATTGGTGCACAATTAGGGAAACCCCCCCCAGGCATGCAGAAACGTATCAGTTTGTGAATTAAGCATGCACACAACTGTCTTGTTAAGGATCCTCAGAATGCTGTGAGTTGAAAGGAGATGGGAAAAGAGGGTGATACTGGCCTGCTGCAGTGCCTAAGAGCTTATACTAGTCTTGAACAGGAGATTTGGGTCAGAGAAGGGGGAATACTCCAGTCGTCCATTTCCATCCACAGTGGGGCCCACCTAGTTGAAGCCAATTGTGAAAACAGAAAGAGCATTTCATCAAACAAAAAAAGGTTAACCAAATCTGGCAGTACCTGTTGGAGCCCAGCAGAATCATGAGAAGCTAGGACTGTCAGTTGCTGATGGATGTGGTGGGGGGAAGCATCCAGTCTTATCCCTACCTTCCAATTGATGTGTACTATGTAGTATGTCCACCCCCTGTTAAGGGCTTCTCTCCTGGAAGTGTGTTCCAAAGAAACTGAAGTGCACAGCACAGTCAGTCATCCTCAGGAGAAACCCAGTTACTCTTAAAGGCCCATGAACCCTGATATACCTAGATTGTAAAGGAAATGCATAAAGCATCAAATGCTAAAATGGGGTAGCCTGTGTGTGTGATATTATGAGGTGGAAGGTGGGGTGGTACGCTCCTTTCCCATACTATCTGTAGCAGATATGTTACCAGAGCTGTAGTATGGGTATGGTTGGAAGTCACAAGTGTGGCAGTCAAAGGAGGTGTCACACTTCTGACAGACCACATTGCCACAAATATAAATGATCTTTCACTTCTGTTCACTGCGTTTGATGGGGTGGAATGAATGACAGTGGCTCTCTTATCTCCCCAGAGGCAATGACAATGGGAAAACTGCACAAAGAAATTGGTCAGCTCATTGTTCAATCTGCAGAAGACCCAGACAGATCAAATATTCAAGTTGTAAAGGTTAGGTTTCTTCAATCTTTAACGTGGTATTGTGGTTTTGGTCTTTGTTAAAGAGCAAGTACTGGGACTGGTCCGTGTCTCAGGCTGTAAAACCAACTTTGTAAGAAGTTATCATAAGAACATAAGAGATGCCAATGTTGGATCAGGCCAAAGGCCCATCCAGTCCAACATTCTGTATCACACTCTGTATCACACAGTGACCAGAAATACCAGTGCCATCAGGAGGTCCACCAGTGGGGCCAGGACATTAGAAGCCCTCCCACTTATCATATAGCAAGCCCTGACTTGGATATCCCAGGCTAGCCTGAACTCATCAAATCTTGGAAGCTAGGCAGGGTTACCCCTGGCTAGTATTTGGGTGGGAGACCTCCAAGGAATACCAGGGGCGTGACGAGAGGCAAGCAGTGGCAAAACACCTCTGAATGTCTCTTGCCTTGAAAACCCCACTAGGGATTGCCATATGTTGTCTGTGACTTGACAGCAACAACCTCATATAGTAAGAAGATAGATGCTGGAAAAAGCAATTGCACCATGCAGTGTTCCATTACACCACTCACTCACACTCTCACTTCTAAAATGAAATACAGTATTTAGAGTGCAACTTGCTCATCTTCTGGTTTTTGTGGAGGTATTTTTGCATTTCTCTCTCTGTGTGTGTGTGTGTGTGTGTGTGTGTGCGCGCCCATGCTTGGTAGTCATAGCAACCTCTGGCGACTTCTACTGGGGCATGGAGGATGTTCAAAGAAGTGGCTTGATAGCCTGCCTCTGCCTCCCATCCCTGGTATTCTTTGGAGGTCTCCCATCCAAATACTTGCCAGGGGTCGGCCCTGCTTAGCTTCCGAGATCTGACGAGACTGGGCTTGCCTGGGCTATCCAGGTCTGATCCTTCTGGCTTTTGAAGTCTTTACATGAGTAAGTCAGAGAATTAGATCTGGACTATAATTTAGAAGAAGAGTTGGATTGATACCTCGCCCTTCACTTGAGAGTCTCAGAGTGGCTTACAATCTCCTTCCCTTCCTTTCCCCACAATAGACACCCTGTGAAGTAGGTGGGGCTGAGAGAGCTCTGAGAGAACTGCTCCTGAGAAAATAGCTCTGAGAGAACTGGGACTGACCCAAGGTTACCAAGCTGGCTGCATGTGGAGGAGTGGGGAACCAAACCCGGTTCTCCAAATTAGAGTCCTGCCACTCTTAACACTACACCAAACTGGCACTACACCAGATTTATGCAGTAGTGTCCCCATGCATTACTAACAATATTTATTTGAAGTAACTCCCACAGAAATTGATATAATGGATTTCTCCATGAACATGGCTAGGATTAGGCTGTTGATGCTTCTGTAGTACTTTCCTATTTCTTTTCCCACAGAACGTCTGCGAGGCGGTTGTGTTTCCCATAGTAATGATGATAAAGGCTGACAGAGGGGCTGGCTGTATTGCCTTGAAAAAAGTTTAGAACTAAACTCTAAGCCCTGCTGCACACTATACGTACTATTTTGAGTCATCTTGTTTTGGCACATTACATAGAATATAAATTAAGGCTTTAGAGGGGCTAGGCTTATTCTGAGTTTTCTTTGGTAGACCATAAATTTTTGCCCATTCAGCTGTAACAGAGAAAGGAAGACACATAACTCACCCTGCCAATGATCCTGAGTGAAGGGCTGCCAACGACTTTGGCTGAATTGGTAGGGCCAGATTGGATCAAAGAGCTGAAATTCAGGGTGGTGGAGGGAGAGCTCTACAGACCCTTCAGCTCTTCAGTCAAGCAACAATGGCAGCACTTCCAAAGACGATATCTCTGGATTGCCTGTCCATGGAGGCAGACTGCACCGCAAAAGTGACACCGGCTCCTCCATCCTCTGGAGGTACAGAGTGCCTAAGGGATGGAACTGCCACACGACCTTTTAGAACCTGTTGCTATTTTGTAAAAGCAGCTCTGTATAAGAACTAATTTGCTGCATCTCTGATCAGATATTGGGGGGAGGGGATGTTAACGCTACCTCTAAAACCTGCGAGTCCTACCTCCTGTTGTTGTAAAGAAACATATCTGGCTATCCTGTATTTATGTATATTTTTTTTAAATGTTCTTTCTCAAAGGATATTTCACGGAAGACAAAAGAAATCTTGACAAATCTGGCCTCGCTCACAGAAGTCTTGCATGATGACGAGAAACCATTACTGAACTTTGAGGCACTGAAACAGAAGCGATTTCCACCAGCAACAGAAAATTTCCTCTATCATCTGGCAGCTGCTGAACAAATGCTCAAGATCTGATTTAATAGCAAATGAATCTCAGCATTAAGCTTCAAAAGGAAATTCTTCCATAATAGTATTTTATACATCTGTAAAATGATCAGCACAAGGAAAAATATATTCAACTGAGGATGTTTCAGAGGGAACACACACTGGAACTCAATGGGTGTAGTCCTAGTTCTCCTTCCCCCAATTTATGATTTTATATGAAATGGGGCAGGGTTTTTTTAAAAAAAAAAAAGAAGGAAAGAAAAATACCGTATTTACCCAGGACTAAGAAAGTAAGGGCATGATGGTTTTGAGCTGGAAGTGTTCTGTGTGCTTTAAGAGGGAAATATATTTGATAGGCTACTGAAACTGTAGCATAAACAGGGTGCTTGGAAAGTGAGACAATATTTGAAAGCTGTTACAATGGCTAAGATAGAGCTGTTTCTCTGATGGCAATTGTTTACAGTCAGCTCTGAAGCTCTGGTTTCAGTTTTCAAGAAAGAGATAAGGGCCAGGGTCCATGTTATGTGTGTGTGCATTAAAACTCAATAGCTGCTGCTTCTAGGTAAAAGGAGCAACATTCAGCAGAGAAGTGCCGGGGGGGGGGGGGCCTAAGTGTCCCAAGGGCTGCTTTGCTGCAGCAATATCCTCTGATGTGTTTGCAAATATGTTTGCAATGTATATTTTTTTTTTTGACACCCCACCCCAGACAAAAATTACCTGGGATGTATTCACGCACCAAGCTATTTTTCTGTTGCAAAGTAGCACTCTTAAAGCTGCTGCCCACTTGAAGAAACAGCTGTTAAGAATTGAAGACACATTTTAGTATGCACTATGTATTATGGCTCTTAAATTCTTCAGTTCATCGAATTCATATTATAAACCAAGGGTTTTGCAGGAACTCTGAAACAACTGTTGGGAGTTGTTCAGGCTGTTCTCTGCACTAGCACTTTGCTTTATAAAATAAGAATTACATTTATTCCCTTTAGTGTTCATAAAGACAGGCCATATAAAAGCAATTGTATACTTGATTTTTTGTTTTAATTACACTTTTGTTTACACTTTTGAACTGCTATTCAATTCAACAGTTGTCGTGTACAATCAATATTAATTTGAGAAACCTTTTTTATAGCATGATCGAGGAACCTGTGTTGTGTTTAGAAGATGGAGGGTAAAAAAGGAAATCAATAACTATGTATAAGTCTCTAATACTAAGAAGGTTGTAAGCATGATCACTGCTCCCCTACTTTCAGGGATGTTTGTTTCAACTTTGTACAGAAATGTTTCTGTGGCAATCTAAACGTGTATCTTTAAATGCCAGCTTATTACACAGTTGCCGTATTTAACTTTTGTTGTTCCCCTATAGACTTAAGATTGTAAATGTGAGAGCCAGTTTGGTCTAGTGGTTAAGTGCACGGACTCTAATCTGGGAGAACTGGGTTTGATTCCCCACTCCTCCACTTGCAACTGGCTGGATTACATTGGGCAAGCCATAGTTCTGGCACAGCTGTTCTTGAAAAGGAGCCATTTCAGTCAGAGCTCTCTTAGCCCCACCTACCTCACAGGGTGTCTGTTGTGGGGAAGGGGAAGGAGTTTGTAAGTCGCTCTGAGACTACTTTGGGTAGTGAAGGGTGGGGTATAAATCCAATCTCTCTCTCTCCAGCGCCTTGCCACCTTCATCCCCTTGTACAACATAAACTGAAGTTTGTTATTTTTTAAAAAGGGCAAACCTCAGGTCTGACTTTAAACTTTAAGGCTGGGTGTATACAAAAAGCTGACTTATACAATATATAAGTTTAGGCACTCTAACGTTCATGTGTCATCAGTACAGTAGTAGTGATAGCATGCGAGGGAACTGTGGGCAGAGCAGTCAGTCAGTGCCTACATAATGGCTGAAGGCCTAGCTTAAGACAACAGCCGTTGAGTTTAAGTTGAGTCTTAGCACAGGAAGGGCGAGAGAAAGGCAAAATGTTAACTGTTTCAGTAGAGGCCAATCATGTGCAGTTGTAAGATTGTCAGTTTCTTGATACAGCCAGGGGCGAGGGGGAGGCACAGGGTTTATAGAAGATTGCCTTTTCCTGATAACGTTTTGAGAGTTCTTTCTCACCTTTCCAAAACTGTGAGGGTGGGGGAGCACAAGCAGTCTAGCCCGGTATCTCCCATAAGACATAAGGCTAATCTCTTAAACTACAATGTAAGGAAAAGAATATCCATTGCCCATCCTGCTCATTTTAGTTGAGAACTGAATTGTTCTTCAGATATTAACCTAATATTTCAGATAAATGAGGTCCTGCTACTTGTTAACTATAACCTAAAACCGCATCAAAACAGACCATTTGCTTTTAAACCCCACCCACCACCCCCAGTAGATTATACTAAGAACTCTCACTTGGCTATGTTCTTTAAATCCCACCTTTCTTCCAGGGTAGCATATACTTCATTTTATCCTCACAACAACCCTGTGAGAAAGAGATAGGCAGCACATTCTGCATAGGCAAAAGGACACATTACTTTACTCAGCAAGTAATTAAATTGTAGGATTCGCTGCTAATAGCTGTAGTGATGGCCACCAGTGTCAATGGCTTTAAAAGGCGATTAAAAATAGCAGAAGGCAACGCTGTAGTGATGGCCACCAGTGTCAATGGCAATTTCAAGGAAAGGCCTTGGCCTCTATATCCTGTTTGTTGGTCTTCCAGAGCAACTGGTTGGTCTCTCTGGGAAACAAGATGCTGTAGTGTGTGGCTGCTGCTGATTCTGTGAGGCACCTCTTCTTAGGACTAGCTAGAAGTTCCCAAGATACCTTAATGACTAAGAAGAGATGTGCAGGACGGAGAGATCATTCACTACAATTATCCCACTTAGCTTCCATAAAATGTCAGTGGAGAAATAATGTTCAGTGGTCCCTTAGTTCTCCATCATGGGCTTTTAATAGTTACATATAGAGATCACAAGATTAAAAAGGTATCAGTGATTTTACATTCCTTTCTTCCAGTTGTGGCGGCAAAGTTTCCACACATGATGCAAGTTTTGCTGCAGTGTATAGAATATTGGTTCAAACTTATAATCCAAAAGCACAACCAATCAAAATACTCAAGACGCTTCTTTAAGTTTTGAAACAAAACCTTCAAATGAACGTATCACCAAATATCCTACAAGTTACAAGTTAAAGTCCCCTGTTGTAAAAGAATTCTGTTTCTTCAGTGGAACAGATTATTTCTGGTTCAATTACGCTTCGTTGTATCTGAAACACACAGACATACCATTAACATTTCAAACCACTATTGGCCTCTTTACCTCATTTGAGTTCAGTTTTGTGTGTGAAAGTAAAGATTTACAAATGCATTTTTCAAAAAAAGTTTTCTAGGATCACTGAAAGATGAACTGTTGTCACTTATGCTAGTATAAGCCTTTAAATAGTAAATGTGAAATAGCAGCAGAAAGGCCAATATCACTATTCAAAGTGACACCTGGGCTCCAAGTTATACCAAGACCGCTCAAATCAACAGAAGGGAATTATTTGGGAATGGACTCATTTGGTTATATACAGTATCTTGGTGATTTTACTTATATGTGTTAATTAAGCCTTTAAGATGCCTATGGGATGTGATGTGACATAAACATAATGGAGTTCTATTCAAGGTTTTAAAGACAGAGCTCTCTTTTGGGAAAATTAATCTTGTTAATCATTTTAAAAATCAGCATTCATTCTTAGCGATACTATATATGTAATATCTGCACCTTTAATACTAGCAATATTTTGAAATCATGGTCGCCAGCCCATGGACTATGAATATTTGGATAGGGGGTTAATTCCCCCCTTTTAAAGAGGAAGTGAAGAAAGACTACACTGCAAGTTGTTGCAAGAAAAACTAGAAACCCCCTAAAACATTAGGAAAAGAAAATGCAAGATTTACCGTTCCTAATTGCGGAATCCAACTAAATGAAACCGGTATCATCAATCCAAGGGTTGAAATTATCATAATAGATCTCAGTGTGGCCCCAAGACGTGGACTTTGGGCAAAAACACTTGTGCTGTCAGAGAGACGGTGAAGACATATTATTGTATGGGAGAACTGTCACAAGTCAGGTTTGAAAGCAAAGGAGCAGTTACATTGCTGTTGCTAACCTTCCCTCCTTCAATACGTTTCCCTACAATGATTCAGGCTGTAGGAAGTTATTAGTTCTTAAGGATACTGAGTGGTGTATTCTAGATCCTAACTGAAGTACTTTGCAAAACCTGCCTGCAGAGCCAGAAATGGAACAGACACTTTTGATGATACATGCACCCTGTGGGAGGCAGCTTGCAGCTGCTGTTCCCACTCTGGCTGGTGGTATCTGTGATGGGGAAGGGGGAATCGCTTGAAGGCTATCGGGCCTTCTATCCCTGTTTAGGCTTCAGATATGGGAATAGGTGGGTTCAAGCCACTTAGCCTCCATCCCACTCAGGCTGTTCCAGAAACCCCTGGCTCTCTCTGTGTCTGGGCAGGAAGGAGAGGAGCAGTCCTGATGACCCCGAGCCACTCCCCTAGCTCCACCACCCCCCAATTCCCTTCTTGTGAGGCCCTGTGGCCTCACAAGCCTTTCCCCTCTTTCTGGGCCTCGAGCTGAGCCGTTCGCGGATCCCCCCCCTCCCCCGTGGCCATCTGTCCCACAGCCAACATTGGACCTTTGAGGGTTAGTGCCTCCCAGGCAGGGCAGAGCCCCACCCAACAGCTTATGGGCATTGCTGATTGTGCTAGGCAGGCCTGCATCTCCAGAATTGTTGGGAGTTAGAACCAGTGAGTGGGAGAGCCCAGTGCAGCAGTGAGCCACCGGAGGAGGTATGGCAGGCTGCAGTCCTCCCGTGGTGGTGAGAGTAAGGGCAAGGGAAGGCTAGAACTGGGGTGGGGGTCCTGGCATTGGAATACACCAACGTGTACTGCAGCAATTACAAGACTAGGGATTAGTTTATAGCTCAAAGTGGTGACGTACAGACATTCCTTTATCCGTACTGTCCTCTTTACAGAGGGAAAAAAGCTAAACTGTAACCAAGGGAAATATGCTAATACTGAAGGATTATTTGGTTGGCAGAGTGCTCAAGGCACATAACTAACAGAGCCTATCTGGTTTGTGTGTGCTGACAAGAAACAGAGTTACACACAGAACCTCTTTCACTTTGCAAAACTAATATGAGTTCTTTATTGTAAGGAACTCCATTCTAGACAAGATAGAAATAGGATTCTAATCTAGTCTAGTTAGCTCGGATGGATAGAGATGCAGAAAGCATGCCCTGCCCTCATGGTGGTGAAGGCTAGCACTGTGGACAGAAGGTGTCTAGCCAGAAGGAAGGTTTCCTGAGAGTAGCAATCTACGCACCAAAGGGATAGCATCAGAGTAGAAGGAAAGGACGATCAGTGTCCTGGCCTCTCTACCTCTCTGACTCTCTTATAGACCCCCTCTGATGTTTGAGGCTAAGAGACAGCCCAATGTCCTTCACTTCCAACAACTAGTAAGAATTCAACCCATACCCAATACAAAAGCATTTTGCATGCAACTGGAGGGAGCCAGGAGAAAAGCTCTGAAGCAAAGTTGTTATTGGACGCCTGTCCAGATTTTACCCTGAAGTGTATGAACAACTGGATATCATGGATGCTATTTTGTCAGTTATTCCATAACCCCAGAAACCAGAGTTGATGGGAGTTATTATATAGCCATTATTGGTATACATATGAGGAAGGAAGAAGAAATAAAAAGGGCAGGGCAGTAGCCCTTAAGTGGTTAAAAGCTGAAGGAGAGGGATCACCCCATGAGGAATATTTTGAAGTGTGGGATTGTTATTAAAAGATAAAGGTTTCCAGGCCCATAGCCAGGGTGTTTTTTGTTCGGGGGGGGGGGCATTTAAATTTTTAAGGGAGCAGTTAAATTACAGTTAATTAAATTAAACTGAATGCTTGTATGTAAAGTGGGAGATTCCCAGACTGTTTCTAGCTCTTCCAAGAATTCCACAGTGGGAGGGAGATGGAAGCCGGAGGGCAAGCCACAGTGCTGCTGCCTGCGGGTGTGTGTCTCCTCAAAAATAAGGTTTCTACACACATGCACATATTTTAAAAGTACAAAAAATTAACCCCCCCCACCCAAGGTTTCTGGCATGGCTATTTGTGGGCCGGGCCTTTTAATTAAGGGGGCAGGGCCCCAAAATGCCCTATTGTAGCTACAGGCCTGAAGGTAACTTTTGCTCAAAAGCTAATCGAATCCGACTCTAGGGGGCAGTGCTCATCTCCCTTTCTAAGCCAAAGAGTTCGAAGACATTTCCGTGATCATGTGGCCGGCGTGTCTAAACGCCAAGGTGCTGTTACCTTCCCACCAAAACGGTACCTATTTATCTACTTGCAACTTCTTGCTTTCGAACTGCTAGGATGGCAGGAGCTGGGGCCAGAGACGGGAGCTCACTCAGTCACACGGCATTAGGGTCTTGAACTGCCGATCTACAGACCTTCCGATCTGCAGCTTCAGCATCTTAACCTCTGAGCCACCGCAGCCCCTGGGATTACTATACTCAGCCTCAAGGGTTCTGGATAAAAAGAGGTCATCATTTAGTTCAAAGCCATTTGCGCACAATTAGAGGGGATCGCATCCAAGGATGTTTTACAGGGAATCCTTATCGTCAATGTTATACACCCTTAGCAGGATAATTAAGGGATTTGTTAGATAAAGGTCAAATAAACATGAGTGAATGGACTCGATAGTATTCTCTTTTTGATAATTATATGAATTTAGGATGCTGGTTCACACATTATAGTCAACCCTGGTGTAAGCATTATTGTTATAGATACAAGGAACAGTACTGGTTACTTTTTCATGGCTAGAACACTGACAAGAATGGTGGCCTTTTTTTTTTTTTAACAGAAAGCAGTGATGCTGAGTACCAAAGTACATCAGCATTCCAAAAGAAGCACACCTATAGAACATCCATATCTAAACTACATAGAATACACAATTAACAGTAAATACCGCCACACTCTTACCGTTTTAAGTAGTGCAGAACAATATCTGGAATACATACTGCTGTCCCAAATACTACTGCTCTGCATAATGCTGTTTCTCTTACTCCCTGGAGGGGAAAAGAAGGAAAAACAACACTCCACATCGGCAGTAATACCTGTTATGATTCAATAATACCTGTTACGTATCAGCTACATCAAAAGTTTATGAAGCTAGGTTTGTTTCATAAGATGGCTACAAGTAGCCTGATGGGAAACATCCACATCCAACAATGTGAATCACTGTGGAATAACCTTCTTAAATAATCTCATTAACATTTTTAGATTGTTATCCTCCCTTTCTATAGCTCTACTATAGTGCCAGGCACATTTAAGTGAGGAAGGAGTTCCATAACAGGATGCCACCACAAAAAGGCCCATCTTTCTGATAGGCATCCTCTTAAATGTAAGGTAGTAGAAGGCAGAGGCACAAAGTCAAGGGCAGAGATGCCCACCTTTTAAAAAAAAAACCCAGTATTTTTTCAGATTTGAATTTTGGGAAGGGCATAAATACCAGCGTTTGGATCTCTCAGTACTGTTTCAGGATTTGGTTTTTTCACATGGTCTGGAATTAGCTGGGTTCCATTATGGGCGACATGGGGAGGCCTGGAGTGGCTGTTTTTGAACCAAAAGGCACCAGAATTGCAGGGGACTTAGTGCTACATGTCCACTACAGACTCTCTCGTTTCAAGTGATTTGGACCAAGGGGTCCAGTTTTACGGTTCCCTGGACAAGGTGCCCCACCCCAGCTATCCTACTTGTCTCCATTGTTACCCTATGGGGAAACAAAATTCAAAGATTGCCAGTAGCCAAACCCACAAGAACAACCACTGGCCAAAAGCCACTAATGCAAACAAAACAACACACCAAACAGAATCAATGTCAAACCAAAGAATCCAAGCCAAACAAACCTTATTTTGGGTTTGTTTGTTTGTTTTCAAATCGCTGTAAAGGTGACGGTTTAGGTAACTGCTACTAAAACATGACTCTTCTGAATTTGCTGCAATAATTACATTTTGAAAATCAACAGGAACACCCCAACATTTCATGAAACCACAAAACAAAACCACAGAAAACATTTTAAAAGAACTAGAAAGAAAAAATTATCCCCCCTACTTAGAACCCCCACCAAGGGAGGGAAGCAGAGAACAAAATAATATTTGGAGACAAATTTCACCATTCGAGAAGATGTCCAGTACCACAGAGATCAAGAAGGTGTTCCTAAGCAGGCATCAGGTAGTACAAATCCAAAGCAGCAGCACATTAAAAAAAACAAAAACTAGCACTGAAATGGAAACCACGGCTTCCTTGACTGAGTCAATCCATCTCATGTTGGGTTCTCCTTTCTCCCTACTGCCTTCAGCTTTTCTTAGCATTAGTATTCTTTCCAGTGACTCTTGTCTTTTCATAATGTGATCAGAGTACAACAGCCTCAGTTTAATCCTTTTAACCTCTAGGGAGAGATCAGGCTTTATTTGATCTAGAACCCACTGGTTTGACTTTTTGGTTGGCCACAGTACCCATAGAACTCTCTCCAACATCACATTTCAAATGAATCAATTTTCCTCCTGTCAGCTTTCTTCATTATCCAACTTCCACACCCATACATAGCAATGGGAAACAGTACAGTATGAATTATCTTGATCTTGGTCCCAAGCCACATATCCTTACCCTTAAGGATCTTTCCCGGCTCCTTCATGGCTGTCCTTCCTAGTCTCAATTTCCTGATTCCTTGGTTGCAGTCTCCCTTTTGGCTGATGATGGAACCAAGGAGCAGAAATATCTTTAACAATTTACATTTCTTCATTGTCATTCTTAAAGTTGTATAATTCCCCAGTAGTCATTACTTTTGTCTTCTTGATGTGCAGCTGCAATCCTACTTTGGCACTTTCTGCTTTAACCTTCATCAGTGGTTGTCTCAAGTCTTCACTATCTTTGGCCAATAATGTGGTGCGTTCTGCATATCTCAGATTGTTAATGTTCCTTCCATCAATTTTCACCAAACTTTCATCTAAATCTAATCCAGTTTTCCTTATGATATGTTCTGCATACAGATTGAAGAGATAGATAAGATAACCCTTGTCTGACAGTTGCTGATTGGAAAGCATTGTCTTTCTATATTCTGTCCTAACAGTACGCTCTTGTCCAGAGTATAATTTGCACATCAGAACAATCAGATGTTGTGGCACACACATTTCTTTTAAGACCAATCACAGCTTTTCATGACTCACAACGTCAAAATTTTTGCTGTAATCTATGAAACACAAGCTGATTTTCTTCTGAAATTCTCTTATATGCTCTGGTAACCAATGCAAATCTGCAACATGCCTCTTCCTTTTCTGAATCTAGCTTGAATATCAGGCATTTTCATTCCATATATGGTAACAGACTTTGTGGTAAGATTTTCAACATCTCTTTACTTACATAAGACATTAATGTGGAGGACTTCCGGTTTATGGCGACACGCAGGCAGACGCATCTCCTGGACATTCCGGGGATGCAAACTGCACACCAGCGTGTAGGAGAGGGTGTGATGGGTCGCGACCCCCCCCCCGGAGCCTTGGTAAAATGCTCCTAGCCAGGGGGCTTTTGAGGGGCGACCTCTTCGCTGCCCCGAAGGTCCTGTCGCTGAGTGTATGCATGGAACTAGTGCTGCTGACCAGGACAAGCGTCGGAGATCAGGCAAGAAAAAACGATGCCAAGCGAGACCGGCTGGCCAGCAACAAACTGTGAGTCGGATTGAAGCGAGTATGAAGATTTAAAAAGAAAGCTTCCCCCCTTAAAGAGCGATGAATACCGAGCGGGGGAGGGGCCCCTCCCAAACGCACAAACAAAAACACAGAAATAAAGAGGGGGGACTGGAAAAATAAGCGTCTAAATCTGTTTTAAGAGACTTACTAGAGCGCAGATAAGTGTATGGGCAAATATCAGAGACTTTAGCAACTTTTAGAAAAGTAAATAATCCAAAAAGATGGTGGGAAAGAAACCAGATAAAGACAAACTGTTGAAAGCGAAACTAGTGGGCAGTCCTCGAACGGAAGAGACCACTGAGCTTTCTAAACTGTTGGCAGATTCCTTTCGCCCTCTGCTGGATGAGATGACTAATATCAAGCAACGATTGTCAACAATTGGTCAGAGTTTGGCTTCACAGCAGCTACAATTGACTAAATCTTTAAATGCAATGGAGCAAATGGCAGAGAAGGTGAAGGAAATGGACGCCAATACTAAAAAAGTCAAGAAAAAGGTACAAAAGCTGGAAATGAAACAAGCTACGGGAGAGTGACAACTTTTACAGCTGCAAACGGAGAAAGTAAATTTGGTCCTATGGTTCCAAGGGGTCCCGGAAATTAAAGGAGAGAATTTGAAGCAACTGTTGAGTGATGCAATAGCCCCACTGACAGATTTGACAGTGGAATACCTTTACAGCGAGAAGGATGTGGTCTACAGGTCCTATTCTTTATACATCAAGAAAAATAATCTGCCTGGGGAAATAGTAGTCAGATTCTCGAAGAGACATGTAAGAGATTCTATTTTGAAAGCAACTACAGGAACACCCTTGAAAATCGGGGACAATAATATCAGGATTTTAAAAGACATTCCATTTGAAATAAGACAGAAGAGAAAGAAATATAAAGACTTAATCCTTTTTTTACAAACAAATGGCATCAGTTATAGATGGTTAATTCCAGAAAGCGTAATTTTCAAGCTCCACGATGAAAAAGAAAAGATTGACTCTGTTCCTAAAGCACGTGAGTTCCTGAGAACACAGCTGGGGGAACCAGCGGAGGACAAGAAGGAAGAAGAAAAAAGCAAATCAGATGGTAAGTTAGGCTCGGTGTCTTCTGACGAGGACTCTTTCTCTGAAAAGGGGGAGGCAGCCCCCAAAAGTCCATATAAATTGAGGATAAGAAGAGATATGAGAAAATAAGGGCTGAAGGACTCTGAATTGTGCCTGAAAATTTAGTGATAACTTTGGGATGCTCTGAGGGTTTCATTTAACAGATAAATGGATGGTTAAAAGATGAATAATTTAGCATAACCGACTATGTTCAATGTATTACTAGCATTTTAGATTAATATTGAAATAAGCTGATGTATTGATCTCCCACTCTTGGGGTTTTAGTTACTAGTGGGTTTCTTTTCTTTCTCCTTAGAGGTAGTTTCCCTTCCTATATTTTCAGTTGTAGTTTGTAGTGTTGTGAAAAACCCAATTAAAAACTCCCCTTAGGGGGATACAAAAAAAGAAAAAGAAATTAATGCGATAGTCTGGTAGCTGCTGTATTCTATGATGTCTCCTTTTTTTGGAACTGGAATGTAGATTGAGTGTTTCCAGTCTGTGGGCCATTGGGTCCCCGCCCCATATATGTTGGCATATTCTTGTTAAGATTTTGATGGACTCCATTTCTGTAGCTTGGGATAGCTCTGTTTATATCCCATCTACTCCTGGAGGTTTCTCCTAACTGCTCTCAGTGCAGCTTTTACTTCGCTGTCTAAAACTGCAGGTTCTTCTTCAAAATATTCTTCTTTGAAGGCAGCTGTCATCCATTCATCTCTTATGTATAGTTCTTCAATGTATTATGCCCATCTTTTCCTTATTTTGACCTGTTCAGTTAATGTGTTTCTGTGTTGATCTTTCAGTACCTAACCTTGCATTAAATTTCCCCTTGATTTCTTGGATCTGGTGGGTCAGACCTCTTGTTCTTTTTTGTATGTTGTTCGCTTCTACTTCTTTAGACTGGTTATTGTAATAGTTCTCTTTGTCTCTGCATGCCAGTTGTTGGAACGCTGCATTTAGACTTCTGATTCCATTCCTGTCACCTTTTATTTTTGCTTCTCGTCTCTCTTTAGCTATGTTAAGAGTTTCATTAGTCATCAGTAATTGTTTGCCCAAAGCATTTCCCCTTACCTGACTTGTCCAGCTCCCACTGCTATACCTCTTGCTACCCCAAACAATACCAACTGGGGCTCCTCTCTCCCTCTCCTAAAGACTGCCCTGTATTTTCAGATACAAATTACCCACCTCAGAAACATGCAAGATAAACAACAAAAGGGCAAACTGTCAACTCCCTGCCCCACAAAAACGTAACACGCATCCTTATCTTACCTAAGTAAAACACCAATCTACTCATCCCCAATTTACTTTTCCCATTAGATGCAGTCCTTGTCTCAATGTGTATTTCCAAAGATGCCCCTTTGCCTTGCTTCCCATAATGTGATGCATCACAATATGGAAACTCATACAAAACCATACAAGGCAGTGACGACACAGCTCCAGGGCATAAAGTCCCTTGAGAAGCGCGCCCGAGAGGACGTGGCGAAGTTGCAGATCACTCTGGAGCAGGAGCGATCTGAGCACGCCAACAGAGTGGAGGCCCAGAGAGCACATTATGAGGGTTTCCTGGAGGATGCTAATATACTGGATCCCTTCCAGTCTGGTCACAGGGGACTGGGATTGGAATCGGGCTCCCAATCTTTTGATGGGACAGTGACGGTGTTGGTCACCCTGGAGACATCTGGATCGAGGCAGATCAGCTCTGCTGATGCTTCTTGATCTGTCAGCAGCATTTGATACAGTTCATCATGATCTGTTGACCCACCGCCTCATCGATGTGGGGATACAGGGGTGTCATGATCTGGGCTGTGCCACCAGAGGCCTACTAGGCCCAGGGAGTCTGGCTAGCAGTAGGTGAGGCTGGGCCTACAACTACTAGAAGCCCCTGAGAGGTTTTGGAGCCAAAATTGACCAATAGGAAAAGAGGAGGGCTTGGAATAAAAGATGTGGTGCAGCAGGAAAAGCTGTACTTCTTCCCAGGGGACAGAGCCAGAAGGGACTGAGGCTGCTCATTCTGCCTGGTCCTCACACCTATTATTCGGCCAAAAGGGAGGTCAGAAGGTCTTGGGAGAGTGCTCTGGGCCTTCTCAAGGGATCCTAAATCCAGAGTGGTGGCAGTGTCAGGTGACACCCCACCTGAGCCATGACAGCTTCACGAACCACCCAAAATTCATGATGAGCTTTAGTTCAAGGGGCATGCCTTGTAGTGGCTGACCTCCTTTCTCCAAAATCTAGGACAGAAGGTGGCGCTTTGGGGGGAATTATCTCAACAACAACTGCTGGAATGTGGTGTGCTGCAGGGAGCAATTCTCTCCCCAATGCTGTTTAATATCTATATGCGCCCCCTCACCCAGATTATCCAGGGGTATGGCTGGGTTGTCACCAATATACTGATGACACCCAGCTCTGTCTACTGATGGACGGCCACCCAGGCTCTACCCCAGAAAATCTGGACAGGGCATTACAAGCCATGGCTGGATGGTTACAATAGAGCAGACTAAACCTGAATCCATCAAAGACAGAGGTCCTGCATCTGGATCGCAGGGGACTGGGATTGGAACCGGGCTCTCAATCTTTGACAGGGCCCCATTGGGGCCAGCAGTGAAAAGCCTGGAGGTGCTCCTGGATGCCTCACTGACTATGGAGGCCCAGGTCGCCGCCACTGCCAGGTCTGCCTTTTTTCATCTGAGACAGATCAGGCAATTGGCCTCATATTTCACCCCCCAGGATCTGGCTACAGTGACCCATACAATGGTCACTTCCAGATTGGACTATTGTAATTCTCTCTATGTGGGGCTGCCCTTGGCTCTGCTTCGGAAACTGCAGCTGGTGCAGAATGCAGCAGCACGGGTGTTGATTTCATGTCTGTGAGGGCGCATATCCACCCTGTGCTGCACGAACTGCACTGGCTGCCTACTGAGTACCGGGTCCGCTTCAAGGTGGTGCTTACCTTCAAAGCCAGGGACCTGCAAATCTTCAAGACCACCTCTCCCCTTATGAGCTCCAGAGAAATTTATGATCTGCAAATCAGCATCTTTTGGTGGTCCCCATCCCCAAGGACATCCTTCTTACCTCAACTAGGGCCAGGGCTTTTTCGGACCTGGCCCCTACCTGGTGGAATGAGCTTCTATATGAGATAAGGGCCCTGCGGGATGTTTTACGGTTCCACAGGGCCTGCAAGACAGAGCTCTTCCACCAGGCATTTAGTTGAGGCAGCGGGCATCCACACTCTATTGTGCCTCCCCCCTCCAGTGGATCAGATCTGTATCATTATCTGGAGCACAAATTATACTAGACCTCATCTGTTGAGGCGCTGGCTAGGAATACGGGAATCAGTAATGGTATTTTAACTGATGTACTTTAATTGTTTTTAACTGTCTATATATTATTTATGATGGAACCCGCCCTGAGTCTGCTATGCGGGGAGGCGGGATACAAATCTAATAAAATAAAAATAAAATAAATAAATCGATGTTTCCCTGACACTTGGCTACATGTCATGAATGTTCTTGTATTTGATGAGTAGGGACTTAACAGACCTAGAGGAGGAGGTTACCAAAGTTTGCTTGCAATCTCCAGGGTCAGCCCAATTAGCAAATCATTGGCTTTGTCAACTGTGGAGAAAGCAGTCAAACTATCTACTCCATGATACTACCAAGAAGGGTCAAAATCTCAGCATCTTACAAGACAACTGAAGAAACAAAACTCGTCGGGCAAGCACAGTGAACACATACTCCTTTGACAGGAGGCTGGATAGCCATAGATAACATGTAGAAAAAAAGAAAAGTAGAAAGATAACTACAAGATGGATGGGGACACAGTGTAACTGAAGAGGACTTTGATGTAGACCTAAATTTCCTGAGAAGGTACAGAAAGAAAAAACCAAGCACCAATTCCTTTATGTCAAGGCCATAAGGGGTTGCAAAAACCTTAGACAGAACTGCTTGAACTTAATTCAGTACTGATGGCTTGGATTGGAATGGGGGAAAAGCAAACCAATAGAAAGATACACAACTTTGCTTACCTTTTCTCCTGCTTTCTTTGACACTCCTACGATACGCCCTTTGCTATCCATAATTTTTATCCCTTTCTCAGTCTCGCTTGTTCGTATTACCACCACGTTAAATGCACACAAAGCAGCTGTAAAAACAGAAAGGGCAGGTTTGGCAAGGCAAATGAATGAGCACAGTTTGTCTAGAATTAGTTATTTACTTGACTATCAAATACAATCACATTATTTATTAGATTTATTTATTTATTATATTTTATATGGGTTGCTGCTCACCCAAACTTGTCTTGTGGTGACTTACCACATTAATGGTGGTAAGTTATGGTGATAAATAGGGTAAAAGCAACATAAAAATAACAAATATAAAATATAAACATTGAACGCACACTGTATAATACACCATCTCTGAGGCTGAGACGCAGGAGTGCAAAGCAAGAAGAGCAGCAAGAACCCCTGAAGGATTAGTAGCAGTTTTCACACTAAGACCCTGTTATGCATGAAGGGAATCTATCCAGAATAAAATGGGTGTTTATTGGATAACACAGTTTCTTTGGGTTTCATAGCTTTCATTTGCATGAAGTCCAAAGTATTTTGGCAAGAACTGGTGTGGAAGGGAAGAAAAGTATGAGTGAATGAGGAGCAGGACTTCCTTTTCCCTCTTTTGGCATTCCAAACAGTTTATTACCTCAGACAAAGGAGAGGTTTTTCCTCACAGAAACTGCAGAAGAACTTGTGGGGCTTGAAATATTGTCCTAACACCAGTATGGTGAAAAGAACAGTTTTCCACCTCAGATGCTTCCACTCACTCACCTGTAAGCGGACCTGGTATGACTTTCATGAACAATTGCATAGAAGGACTCCGTACTTGATAACGAGTCATGATGTAATGAGGCAAAATCTAGAAACATTCAGAAATAAATATCAGAATATACAAGGGCTGCCCAAAATGCATTACATCGATGACCACATGCAATGGTCTCCCTGTTCAAAGAGAAAAGCTACCTTCGAACTTTATCAAATAAAACCATGTGGCAAGAGTCACCCTGCCATAACTTTGTAACATCAGAGGCAGTGAAGTCAACTGGGTTTGAAATAGTCACCAGATTCTTGGAATCATATCTAGCCTTGCTAAGTCAGTAAAAGTTAAATTAGTTTTAAAGTGGGGCCCATCCCAAGTTCCAAGTGTGAGATTTTATTTATTTGAGTTTATCCAAGCAGCTCAAAGTGGGTTGCTCTATCCTCTCTCCCAGTTTGTCCTCAAAGCAACCCTTTAACGTAATAAGGTTAAGATACACTGAGTGGCCCGAGGCTACCCAAAGAGCTTCATGGCAGAATGAAAATGTGAATGTGGGTCTCCCCATCCAGTGCTTTAACACTGTAATAATCTGTAAATCTCCAACCCTGCTCCTATAACTTGGTTTTCTGAGCCAGGGAACATAAAGCAGTCCAAGGGTGCCACAAACCTCTGTGCTACAAATTATCAATACGGGTACAAAATAAATGCAAAAGTTGGGGGGAAATCAGAGAGATTTGAAAAGACATACTGCTATGCTTGCAGAATATAGAATTGCCCCTGCACTGAGAAGCACCTCCTTGTATGGAAACTCCTAAAAACAAAAACACACAATAAATAAAATTGTTTTTATTTGTTGAACAATGGACAATTCACTGCATAGTGTCCTTTCCCAATTAACACCTACTTTTGAGTCCTGTGTAAAATTCCCATGTGCCACGCTGAATCCACTTATATATGTGTGGAAAAAAACCTGAAAGATTGGAGATTGAAAACAAAAAAAACCATGTAAGTTGAGTTGCCTAATAGCAAGCGGAAACATGCTGAAACAAATTGGATTGGCTCAGTACCTGTGAATGAAATGCTTGCTTCACTCCTTTGTGTGGTAATAAAATACCAATGACCTGTGAAGAAAACCTCATAAGAAAAGAGAACCTCAAAGAATCATAGAGTTCGAAGGAACCTCCACGTTTATCTAGTCCACTTCCTGCACAATGCAGGAAATTCACAAATACCTCCCCCCACACACACCCAGTGACCCCCTTGCTGCATGCCCAGAACCTGGTATCAAGGGGGCACATAGCATCAGAAAGGCAGGATCCTAGACCTTGTTTCTCTTTATGCACCTCTTAGTCTGTTGTGAACCACACTCCTCTAATGCTAGGCACTTTTTGGCACACTGAGTATTATTATTATTATTAGATTCGATTTTTATACTGCCTTTCCCTGTAAACAGGGCTTAGGGCAGTGTACAACAAGAGATAAAACAACCACATTTGTACTAATTTAAAATTAAAACATTAAAATTACGGTAGTCAACTTAATTAGATGGTGATCAAAACTTCTGGTTGAGCCACTGCCTGGGGGGTGGGCCGTCGCGGGGGGGGGGGGGGGGAGTGCCAGCCAAGATGGCTGTTGTTGCTGTCCTCAGCCAAGTGCCTGGGAGAACATCTCTGCCTTACAGGCCCTGCGGAACTGTATTAAATCCCACAGACCACGGATGTTACTTGGCAGAGAGTCCCACCAGGTTGGGGCCAGGGCGCTAAAAACCCTGCCTCTGGTCGAGGACAGCCAGATATCTGTTGGGACAGGGACCACAAGTAAATTTTTATCTGCACAGCATAATGCTCTTCTGGGGGCATACCAGGAGTATATTCGCTCTGCATGAGAAGGAGGAACGCACACAGCAGCAAAGGGCACTACGTAAGCAGAGATAAGGTTTCAGTTGCAAGTCTTATTTTTTCCTTTTGTTTTTTTTAAAATACATTTTAAAATATTTCAAAAGTGATTTTATTTATATAATATTATTTGCATTGTTGTAGCATCTCAAAGGTATTACCCAAAAACAATGCACATACACCAGCGCATCTCTCAGGTTCATTCTGTACACTACCAGCAGTAGTGAGAGAAGCCACTGTGGTATAACTGCTCTTACATTAGTAACGTCTAAAATAAGTGAACCCTAGGGTTGCCAGGTCAAATGTTCTCCCCAACAGGAGGATTTGTGGGGCATTCCAGGAGGGGGAGGGGATTTCCCAATGTGATGTCACATGGAAGTGATGTCATCACACATTTGGGAAGCTGGCGCTGCACACACCTGAACTGCAAGCGGTGAATTTGCTGTTTGGAGTTCAGGTGCACGTGGCCCCCACTTGAAAAAAACATTTAAAGGGAAGCCCTCGCAGTTCAGGCGCCAGCAGCTCCCACTTGTAACAAACCACTTAAAGGGAACCCTCTGAATGGTTTTTTTGCAATTGGAGGCTCCCTGTGCATAAACTCCAAGTGGCGAATTCACCGCCTTGGAGTTCAGGCACGCAACACCCACTTCCTGGGACCAGTGGCCAACTCTCTCCCTCCCCTCCTGAGAGATTTAAAGGGCCCTCCAGCTGACTGGCAGGCCACAAGCTCCCGCCAGTCATCTGGAGGGCCCTTTAAATCTCGCAGGAGGGGAGGGAGAAGAGCAGCCACCATCGACGCTGTGCGGGGGTGGGGCTTACCCCTGCCGGCCAGTTGGCCAGCAGCAGACTGGAGCCCGCAAAAGCAGGGGTACCCTGCCCCGACCTGGGGGATGGCAACCCTAGTGAACCATGCAAGCAAGCTGACAAGATGTTTATTTTTCATGCCAGCATCACATGCCTTAGGGCCATCATAAAGGTGCTGCATCACTTCCAATAATGAATAAACTGAAACATAAAGAAGGAGGTGATACTGATTACTATGGTTACTATGGCTGATATTCTGGAAGGTTCTGTTTTACCAACACTAAATGGGATGAGTTTATCACTGGCTGATTCAATGGGATGTTTGATGAATCCTGCTCTGTTGATGGAAAAGCGGGTTACAGTATCAGAAAATACATTTTATCAACTACATCTAGTACAGAGAAGGCATTCCTTTCTAGATCCAGCTGATCTGCCTAGAATTACTCACGCTACTGTAAACCTGAAACTTGACTACTGTGACATGTTCTATATAGGACTGCCCTTGAAAAGAGCTCTCTTTTCTTACGGCATACTGAAAATATGGACTTGGCAGCAGGGCCGACTTATCCATTAGGCACAGTAGCACAGTGCCTAGAGCCCAAGATACATGAAAATGTTTTACTTTCTTTTAAAAATTTAAAAAAATGAACTTGTAGGGTTGAATAAAATGTTTTACTTTTTTTTCTCACATCAGAAAAAAAAGGTGAAGGTCCTGACCTGGATAGCCCAGGGAAGCCCGATCACATCAGATCTCGGAAGCGAAGCAGGGACAACTCTGGCAAGTACATGTATGGGAGACCTCCTTGACATACCATAGGCTAGGTGGGAGGCAGGGGCAGGCTGTATTCAGCCACCTCTCTGTATATTCTCCAGGCCCCCAGTAGGGGTCAGTCACCAGAGGTCGCCATGACTTCCAGGTGCATACACACTCACACACATATTTAAAAAATACCAAAAAAGGTGTGTGTGTGAAGTACTTAGTTATATCAAAAATAATTTTAATATTTATATTATTATGGTGAGGGGGGCCCATGAAGGCAAAAGTGCCTGGGGCCCACTAAAGTCATAATGCGCCCCTGCTTGACAGCACAACCTGTTAAGACGGCAGAAGGAAAGGATCTATTGAGTAAATGGTCCTGCCTTTTAGGGAAGGGAAGGAAACTAGGTTGCTTTTCAGCCCACTCTAACTCTTTACGCAAATCCACTGGACTTGTAAAGTTCAGGAAATATAGCAAGCCCATATGCTGGAAACTTCCATCATTACTCACCAATGGAGCAGTAAGCGGTAGGAAAGCTTTGAAGAAGAAAAACAAATAATGGCTAATTAGTGAAATCAGCTGACGAGAAGGCTTTCCTGGTGGCCTAACAGGAAAAGCAAACCAACCATGTACACCAGCATTTCAAAAGAAGCCTTGACTCTAGATCTTGTACCTCAAGCTGAGATTGATGTCCAATTCTGTTCCAAGTCCAACATGACCCTTTGCCTCCATCTATCCCAAAAATGTTAATTGGGAATCACTGAGCTGACCTTCTGGGAAAACTCTGTGGCAATGTGGTTTGTGATGAAAGGAAGCAAGGGGTTAGCTCAGGTAAACGAAGAGAGAGAAAGACTTTATGAAATGCATGCTTGTGTTTGAACTAGGCCGCATGAGTTCCATTGGCTCTGCGTGCCACAAGCGCAACCATAATTTAACCACAAGGAGCAAATCCAAACAGTGTCTAGCACTGTGTCGAAGGCAGGACAGAACTGAGTATAAGAAAATGGGAATGTTTTATATGGTACATAAATGCAACAGTTGGTTACCTGGTACACAAAAATTGTTGATTAAAGAGAGTATTTCTTTCTATAGCAGCAAAATTACATGAAATAAAAGTATTAATTTTCAAGGGAGTACAAAAATTAAGTACCAGGCACCACACATATTCCATCATAATTTAGAGCGCTCTGGCTAATTTGCAAAGTTTTACATAACTGTCTTAAATATGGTGGATGCTGGAACACATAAACCGCATATGAAATTACTGGTTGTCGACTAAGTGGCACCTCTGAATAAGCTCCTTGCACAATAGAAGCAAGTGACAACAAGCAACACAGGGCCAAACTAGACGTTATCACAGTAATGGGCCTGACCCATGGTCATAGATGCCATTTTAGGGAAGAATTTAGCCATTTTAAAAGTGCAGCGAGGGCCCGATCCTGACTGGGCTTGTGGTGCAGGGGGACCAAGCAATCTTGTGTCCCCCCATGCACACCTTTTCAAGTACCAAAACAGCGCTGAAGCACTTGAAAAGGCACATGGGTGGGGGAACAAGATCACTTGATCCCTCTGCACCATAGGCCCTATCAGATTGGGCTCTCACAACACCTTTTAAATTGCCAAATTCTTCTCTAAAATGGCATCGCTGGCCACACATCAGACCCGTGTCCCTGATAACATCTAGTCTGGCCCACAGGCATGCTGACCCCAAACATTGAAAAATGATTAGTCAGGGATTCAGATTAATTTTTAAAAATAATTACGTGATTTCACAAAAGAATACTCCTAGCATTTTTAAAACACAGGTTCCAGTACCTCTGGGATACATTTCTTTTACATTCATCACAAATTATTGTGATCTCAAAGGCTAGAAACACTCATTGAAAAAACAGGGTCCTGACATTCCAGAGGCTGAATAAAAATACTTGGATTGTTGGTTGCCTATCCTAACCACTAACCTAACTAATATTAAAAGGCTCCCTGCAGCAACCAGTGCAATTGGCATGCTTTTTCTCTAGTAAGCTGAACCCTACTCATGCCTCTCTATCTCTATCACATTGTTATCTCTCCCTTCTCCAAAGAGTTCAATGTGGCATCCATCATTCTCTCCATTTTATCCTCACAACAACTGTTAGAAAGGTCAGGATGACAGAAAGGAAGAGCCATGGTTGAGCAGGGATTTGAACCGTGCACCACCCTTAGTCCTAGTTCAATATTCAAATCACTATATCACTCCAGCTGTCTCGCCAGATTAACAGGACTAAATGTTTTAAGGCAGAAAAAAACAGGCAACACATTTTCAGTAAAACTGACCTGGTGGCCGAAATACAGAAAGAACTGTATCACCAGTGGCAGGGTTCACAGAGGCCTTGAAGGAAGAAAAGCAAACACAAAACCCTAATGAATCAGGAAATCACTATCAAAAAATTAAGAAAAAACTGAAAGCAAAATAATTCCTAGATCTTTTGTAAACTCACCAAACTTAAGTTCCAAGCCTCTTTTATCTAAACAGTTAGAAAAAAAATGAGATTTTTGGAAACAGTATTATTGAGTAGGCATAGTAGATGAGCATGTACTTTCTTTGAGTTGTGAAAAAATTACCTTTAGAGAGCATACACCATTTTTTGGTAACTAACAGTAGTTACTATTAATTTGGGAGCTATTATCAAATTGCTATTTGGTAATTAAACTATTTGCAGTACTGGCCATATACCTGCCTACACGCTATGTAAACTCTTCCTCTGTTATTCCTGCTCTGATGACAATTTTCCTGTCATGGTAAAACTACTGGGCTATAAGTACTTAAAAAGAAAATGCATAATTGGAACAACTTCTGTTATTTCAAGCAGGCCCTTCCAGGAATGCTGTGATACTCCAACACATGTTGGGTCAGAGCTGAGCAAGAAAGAGATGCTCAACAGGCTTTCTCAATAGTCTGTAGCAATTCCCCAGAGACACTCAGGTCTGGTTTCCTCCCCATGACTATATACACCTGGGATAGCTGGGCTGCTTGGCAAAGAGGATTGTGGAAGCATCTGAACCGGCCCTCTGATTCCCTGCATCAGTCACACACAGTGACCAGACAAGCAGCCCTGTGGGCCCAGAAAGTAAGTGAGTCCATGATGCTGTGTCTCTGAGAGACTGAAACCAGGGACGTGTGCTATACTACTTTGAAATCCAAAGCACAGAAATGAAAATATTTTACTCTGCTCTTGATCATCACGGGGAAGAAGAAAAAAATGACAAAGGACATTGAAGCCTGACCCCAGTATCATTCCTTAAAAGCACTGGTTCTCATGTAAGACTAACAGTGTTTTTTAAAAGAATCAAAATCTCAGGCTCATTGATCAAAAAAAAATTATTTCCATTGCCTTGGAAAGCATCATTTTATCCTTTTGTCATTTTTGCAAGCTTGCAGTGCATTGTACCTGACTCCAAAATCCAAAGTCAGTTATGCACTCACTGAATGGCCCAAGTAAGATTCCACCTCTAAGCTTCAGTTTCAGCGTACCAAGTGGGGTATGACAGATGTAGTCACAGGCACTTAGCGTACTAAGACAACAGTTGACAACAACAGCAATGTATGTAAAAAGTTATTACTGGGAAAAGAAATATACCTCTTTGTTCTGCAAGGACTTTGCGATATCTGGCCCACTAGTTAGTAAAAGTGTTCTGGATGCTTCAATTTCCTTCTATATTTACAAGAAAAAAGCATCACAAAAAGCAAGATAAGTTACTATTTTCACACACCATCTCTTACCCAGTTATACTACAGGAGCCAATCTTTTTTGTTTGTTTGCAAATGCAAAATCTAAAGTCACTCTCAAGCAGTTACTTCTAGCAACTCTGGAAGTAGCATTAGGCCAAACCCAAGGCTTCTGCTGAAAAGAAAGTCTTCTCCAGCCCCTCTTTCCTGTAACCCAGTGGGTGCGTTCAGACGGGGCCTTTCTGCCAGCATAAACGCGATCACACTTACCTCCATTTTGCAGATCCCATCGTTATATGCCCGGTCACACGCTGCGGGCGTCGGCGTTTTTTTTAAAACCCCACAGTTTGAGCATGCGCATAGGCAGCCATTCACAGAACTTTAAACTTTAAAGGTAAGGACTTACCTTTAAAGTTTAAAGCCCAAACTGGCCTCCCTTAAGTCCCGGACTCCACCGGATAGTTAAAGTAAGGGCTTTTTTTTTTTTTTTTAAACAAACGCTCGAAGCTTTGCCCAAGCGCATATCGCTCAGTTTTTTAAAAAAAAATGGCGGGGGGGAAACGGAAGCCTCAGGCTTCCGACGGAAATGGCTAGGCACCGGTGGAGAGCGATCAGACGGCGAGGTACAGCATTTACAACCGTTGCACTCAGGATACCACCACTTGGGACCTAGTGGCAGAGTGCAACGGTGTAAAGGGCTTTAGGGACAGGAGGCAGATGTTCCCCGTCTGAACGCCGGTGAGTACAACGATTGCAACCGGCACCTATACCGATGTAAAGCCCCCGTCTGAACGCACCCAGTGTGTTGCAAATTCCCATACTTGCAGAACCTGCATTGAATCCTAAACTCTATTCTGCTGATGGGGAAGCTTTCCCCTAGCAGAAAAGATTCTCAGTTGGAAGAATGGAGCTCTATGAGACAACTGAATGCATACAAGAAAGGGTCAAGGACATTCTCAGCATGGGTATGCCATAATCAGGCTCCATTGTTCAACTTGCAGTACTTATATTGTGAATCCTAAGGATACTTCCTTAGGATTCACAATATAAGTACTGCAAGTTGAACAATAGAGCCATGTTGGTCCAAGAGGGAAGAAAGCAGTAGGAGTGGGGCTGGGCAACATTGCAACATCACTTCCAGTCAGGTCACCAGAAGTGACATCACGTATCACCACAACACTCTAGAAATCTCACATATCACTATGGTTTTACTGTCACAGGACTACCTCCCCCTTTCTCCCTCCACTGTAGCAGGAAACCTAGTAGGCCTATTGTTAGGGCAAACCAAAATATCACAAAACTGTGTACAAGCTCTCAAGAATTCTTCATAATTCCCCTTAATTTTTAAAAAACATTAATCAAAAAGGGGGTGGATGGCAATGTTCCCTCTAAGCTGTGGAGTCTTGTGAGCAAGAATTTTACTTTGTGAGCTACTGGCATTAAAGTTGTGAATGAGCCATTTGGCTACTGCATAAATTAGTTTGTTCTGGAGCCATCCTTCCTGAGCTAAGATAAAAATGTGTGAGCCAGAGGATAAAAAACTATGAGCCAGCTCACACTAACTCAGCTTAGAGGGAACACTGGTGGATGGGTTTCCAACTGGAAAACTTCTTAATAGGGATCATTATTAAATCTGTTCTTGGAAGTAGGAACAATTTGTTTTACACAGAAATACAGCAACAGCCACTTGGAAAACAGCCCTCTTGTAGAGTCTTTGAATCTAGGTTCTTCTCAGGATCAGTTTTCCGATCTTACATCAGCCACATATGGAAGTCAAGAGACAAAACTCTTACCTTGGACAAAGCTACTTACCTTGGATTTAAGTAAGAGCAAAGGGTCCAAAATATCTATCCAGTGATGAAATCTTTGGGAAAAAGTCTAAAGAAAAATGACAGATCTGCTTTAAAAAGTTAAAAGTTGTAACAATTCTTGAAGCTACTCAAAGTTACCAACAGTCTCTATTTTACAAGTAGTCCTGTGCATTTAATTAACCCTTCTTTATTTCCACCACCTACCTCTACAGTATTGTCCTTATCCCTCAAGCTAAAGCACCATGCACACACTTTCAAAAGTAAACACATTTTAAACTGAATTGTGCCTAACTTCTTTGCACTTTTGGGACACTATATCATATTTCTTCTGTCCCCTGTTGATGGAACCTAATAAAGTGAATAATCACATCCTGTTGAACATCTGAATTATTTCTTGGATTCTGCATCAGTTTAGGAAGTTGAATTTAAGTTGTAATCCACAGCCGTTAAGGTTGGCAGCTTTGTTTATGATATGATATGGTATGATAATTCCTTAAAATTAATTATTATAACAAATTCCATTCACGTTCCATTCACATTTTATGGAGGCCAGCCTACAGGCGCTACAACATTTGCAAATGGCTCACTGCATAGACATCCATATCGTCTCAGCAACCAGTGACACAGAAACTCACCTCGTGACTGGAGATATACAGTAAGCCATTTTCAGATCCCTCAGTCCCTGTGCATAACACCGCCGTATAAAAGCAAAATCCAGAAAGGGAACCGTAGTAGTGTGTGGCAGCAAACACAACAAGGTGCCACTAAACTGGCCGGTTTCTACCACACTGAATAGGGTTGCTCGGTACCCCCAGGCCCACTGGCAGGGAATGCGGGAGGGCTGCCAGATCCAGGTTGGGAACCTCCTAGAGGTTTGGGGATGGAGCCTGGGAAGGACAGGGACAGTGGGGTGCAATGCCATACAGTCCACCCACAAAAGCATATATTTTCGCCAGGGGAACTGATCTCTGTAATCTGGAGATGAGCTGTAATTCCAGAGGATCCCTAGGTCCCATCTGGAGGCCTGCATCCCTAACACAGAATGATGTCTTAGCAGCTCCTACACAAGCAGAGCAATCTTCCACTCTAAGTCCATTAACTTCAGCGAATTAATACTGCAGGCAGCTCTGCACGGGAATGCACTGAAGATGTGTTGCTGGCCCTCCACCACCACCACCCCCGTTCTCTACAGTCAGCAATATAGCAACCTAGATTTGTTCTAAGTATGCTCTGCTTAGAGAGGTTCCTACCGAGCTTTTAGCATCCCAATGTCAGTGAAAGATTAGCAGCACCAGTCCGTTTCCAGATTCCCGGGACACGGCACAATAACGGAGCGCTGGTGTGAAACGTCCCTCTGTCCAATCACATTCGCATCCCATTCATTCTTACCACAATTTTTTTTCAGAAACATTGTTAAGACATTCCTATTTGGTCTGCCTTTGTGGGGACAATAATTAGAATGAGCTTTCAGTGCACTGTTTTAAGCAGCTCGACCTTTAAATGCAATTCCCTATTTGTGACTCATGCAGCCCCGGTTGCCCGTTGCAGGCTTCCACTTAAACCGTGCAGAGGACGCCAGCCTCGCTTCTCTAACACAATTCGCCGCGGGTCTGCAGCACGCCTCCCACCCCCTAACGCGGCGCTTCTCCCACTTGATGGTCCTACTTTGCCCTCGCTTTTCCAGAACTCCAAGTTCAAATCCATGAGGGTCAGCGCGGAACGCCGGAAAGTGTCTGTTCGGGGAGCTCCGGTGGCTGCACCTTCCGGCAGCCACTTCCTTTCCTTGCAGGAACGTTTCTCGTATTGGCCAGTCGTATTCCAGGGTTACTATGGTTTGAAAAGCAAAAAAGAGGAGATATTTCCCAACTCCCTACTTCAAACAAGTGATCACTATGACAAATCTCATGTTAAATACCCCTACTATTTAAGCTGTGATAATTGCTACTAAGGTAACAGCGTTCCGTGCGCCTTGGTGTTTAGTCATGCCGGCCACATGACCACGGAAACGCCTTCGGACAGCGCTGGCTCTTCGGCTTTGAAACGGAGATGAGCACCGCAACCCTAGAGTCGGA